ACAAAATGACTGCAGGGGTGAACATCATCATTTACCAACAGGGTAATACTTATTTACCAACAGGGAAAGTGGTGAAGGTATATTCCATCACTCCTAACCTGCAGGATGCTTGCTTTTATGATTTGGAAGTAGGCAAACAACAAGAAAAAGGATGGGCTGCAGCCATACATTGTTTTATTTTTTGTGGATGCCCATGAAGATGAAGCATGGCCCAGATTTACTTTGGTAGAAAAAGATGGTATTACAGATTGGGGCTTTGTTTTGCAGTACAGTGGCTTTTCATGTAATTCATACATATATAAATATACCTTTAAAAAAAAAAAAAAGGCAGCCAGGACAGGGAACCTGATGAGTGACCCCAGAGAGACTTGTCTCTGAGATGAAGTGGTGTGCACAAAATGGAAAAATATGTTCATTCCAGATATTCTGCTGAACGATTTCAGTTGGGCTGTGGTTCAGCAAAAACAAAACCCAGAATGTTTTGGTTGTTCCAGGGTTTGAATAAAACATATCCAGATAAATTCTGGAATAATTAACATAGTGAGTAGGACATAGTTGCCCCCCTCTCCTTCCCACAGCAGCTCCCAACATGGCATGTCCCACCAGCCTGCCCATCCTGATCTTCTCAGTGCCTTCTGTTGTCTCCACATCCTGTCTCCCCTGAGCAGCTGATTTACCAGTGCAGCATGCCTCACCAGTTTGCCTATTCCTAATCTTCCTAATCCCTTCTCTTCCCTCCCTCTCTTCAGCTGCCACCAAGTGTCCTAGTGCAGCTTATCTACAAGCCTACCCATGCCTGATCTTCTCAGCACCTTCACTTCCTTTACTTATCCACTGCTACCTATGTACTGGCCCGTGTTCCTGTTTCTTCTTGTGACAGTTTCAGTCATAATAAACAGGCTCCCAGCAGGGCACATTCTACCAGCCTGCCTGCGGTCCTGTATTTGCTTCAATTTTGAGTTCTTGGGGAGGGGAGGGGAGGGGAGATCAGGCAGGCGGTGTGTTAGGATCACAGCAGTGGCTGAGTCAAGAGAGGGAGAATGGGAAATTGCTGAAAGGTTGGGCAAGCAGTGGGCTGGGGAATTGCTGAGGAAAGGTGCTGGGAAGATCAATTATTGAGTAGATGGGAGGACCAGTGGGCAGCAGCAATTCCTTTCATCCATCACGGCTTCTGTTCCAAATGACACTTCTTTGGAGACAGCAGTTGGAGAAAAATGATATTTCAAAAGTCCCTCAGGCTCTCTAAGGGAATGGCATTCCATAGAGGGCTATCTTCATAAGGGTCCAAATTTGACTTTGGGGGGGGGGGGGAATCTTCAGATTAACAGACATCTCCTTCTCCCAAATAGTCCAGAACTCGAGGTTTCATCTGTAGAAAGATTCTGGAATCCTTTAAAGGTTAGGCAAGAATTAATAAAAACGAATAGCAACAAACTGTAGTGGCATGACTGAACCCATAGGGTGGAAGATGGGAGGTCTCAATCCCAGAAACAGTCTGGGTCTTCACACCCTGATTCTGTCCTTCTGCCTTTGGAAATAGTGCCTTATTTTTCAGGGGATGTCTCACCTGGTATTCCGTTGGTAGGCCTGGTGTATGAGAAAGAATGGTCTTCTACAAGTATTGATGCCTTTCCCAACATGGAAAAAAAATCTGTAATGTAATGGTGTAGCTTAGAGGGACGTGATTGCAGGTTTCAGCTCATCCTGGGAGAAAGACCATTTTCACAAGAGATGAATCAAATCAAAATTGTTTTAAAAAAAAGATCATGGGCTCAAGACAGACTGTATATATAATATAAGTAAGGGCATGGTGATTTATTATAACATTGGTTGAAGGTAACAGTTTTCCTTAACAGCCTGGTTCTACTAATTCTGAAGGATGACCATCTCTCACCATGGATATCAGCAGTAAATCAAGATGGAAGGGTTCTGGGCTCACTACAGATTTGTTCCATTCTCCTCAAAGTTCTGCCCTTATTTTAAAAACATTAAAAATGTCTATAGCTAAAGAAAGGGTGCCTATACAGTATGTCATCTAGGGCAGTGTTTCTTAACATCAACAACTTTAAATATGCTGGCTGGGAAATTCTGAGAGTTGAAGTCTGCACATCTTAAAGTAGCTGAGATTGATCTAGGACATCATACCCTCATAGAGATGTTGATTCTATTTCTGGAAAGCAGCTTGGGGATATCTGAGCCTGTCTGGGATGCTGGTTGACATTACCAAAGCAAATGCATGAAGAAGTGCAGAATATGTTAGTCAGCAAAGTCATTCTTGACAAACCATTTTCACTGCTGAAGACAAAGGGAGGGCAGAGGCTGGGTCTGTTCTCCTGGAAATCCATTATGCACAAACAGGTTTATATTATATGCGTACTCTCTTCCTCTGAACGGTTTTTGAACAATTAATGATAATTTTCTCTTCTGCATTATTTGCTATTTGTTTGTTACTTATGTATTTTGTATTCTGCCTTTTTGTCCAGAGAACAGCCAAGGCAGCTATTAATTAAAAAATAAAGAAATATTCATGTTTTCCAAATCTCCTTCAACTGTCTTTTGAAAACCCTGAATCCTGGCTCTTCTTCATAAGCTTGAGAGTGGAAAAAAAGATGGAATTCTGGTTTGTCAGCTGGTCTTCGCTGTTTGATCAATCCTCCATCTCTTTCTACTCTTCTCTTGCCTTTGCCTGTATAATCTAGTTCTCTTTAGGGAGACTCCTTTGTCCATCTGTTTCAATTAATATTTCTCCAAACTGGAATTTGGAGAAATGTTCAGCTGGTCCTTTCCTCATTTTCCCCCTTCCTCTCCATGGATAAACAGATAGGTTGAAGAAGGCAAGGAATGTACAGTACAGTACAGTAGGTGGGAAGCCAATTAATTTGCATCCTTTCTGATTATCTTCAATTTTGTTGCGGTAGGTACAGCAGGGAATCCTCTGGGTGGCTGAAAGCACATAATGAAGTGTGCTTTAACAGTTGCAGGAGCCTCCATCTTCCCCTTCAGACTTCTCTTAATTAGAAGCTGTTTCAGCTTTAAAAGCCTGCCCCAAAGTACAAAAGGGAAAGGGTTTTTCCAGCCAACTGCCAAAGGAGCAGCTCATCTTTTACGAAACACACAAATAATAAAAATAAAAATGCACACTGGAGAGGTAAGGAATAGGCAAATAATTTATTAGGAAGAGGTCTTCTGATATCATCTTCATGGTTCTTCCCCCCCCCTTTTTTATTTTAAAAGTAGGCTAGTATGATTTCAGTCAAAAGAACAGGCAATCTTGCTCCCTCCAAATGTTTCAGGCAGCCATCCCCATAATTCAGGGCCGTTAGCGATGGGTCTGACAGAAGATGTGAATTATACTTTTTCCCCACCTAACTCGATTCAAGGTGTGTGTATAAGTTTTCCAGATCAGCATCAGTAAGTAAACGGAGTACATGGTAACTCATCATGTCCACTCAGAAATAAGGCCTATTGAAATGCATTGGCAGTTACTCAAACACAAATGTATGCGGTCACTTAAGTACTACTGAACTTGATGGGGCTTGTTTCTAGCCAGATTAGACTAAGGTAATAAAGAAGAAAGGTTGCTTTTTTTTTTTTTTTTTTGGTTACAAATGCACTGCAAATCATTTATTCTTTCATGATGGTTTTATTAACAGCAGGCAACTTAACCTATTCCAGATAGGTTTTTCAACAGAATAGGTGCAGTTTGACAGGTTTAAGCTATGAGGGTAGATTCGTGTACTCATTAGTTTACAGAGAAATCTCAGTAAATGCGACTTTTTTCTAAATGGTGGTTTCCAGTCCTGGGTTGTGTTGAAACCATTAATTCCCATGAATGAAAAGCTGTGATTAAACTTGGCTTCCAGATTTTTCTACTAGCCTTCCAGAGTTGTGTTTTAAGATGGGCAGCCATACAAATCTTTTAAATAAATAAATACTGCCTATGCACCTTCAAGGAGGTGGTGTACGGGTGCATTCTGAAGCATATCGTACATGAGGATTTGGTCTTCCAGACACAATAGGTGGCATTTTATTTTGTTTTAAAATTATTATTACATTATGGTTATACATCACCTTGCCTCTAGTAACTCAAGTTGGCTTACTTGGGAATCTCCCCTCATTTTATTCCCATAACAACAAACCTGTAAAGTGAATTGGACTCAGGAATATCAGTTGGCTCAGTCACTCAGTGAGCTTCATGTCTGCATGGAGACTTTAACCTGGGTCTCCTTTGTCCCTGTCTGATGCTTTAACACTCTACTCCACTACCATGTGGCCAAACAGGAATAGATACACATTTCTTCCTATGCAAAATTAAATTATGCCTGCTCTATGTTAAGATGTGTACTCTGTACAGAAAGAGTTTCATATGCTAGGTTCGAGGCTTTCAGATCAATATTCAGCATATTCCCCTCAAAATGGCTTGAGTAATGAGGAGTGATAAAGTGCTACAGCTGATTCTAAGGCATACACATGCATGGCTGAGTTTTCTCTTAGGTGAATTAAGAGTATATGTAACCTGGAACATGTGATTCTGAAGGCTTTTGGGTGGAAGTAGCAGTAAGCAAATTACCTTATGAAATAATTTATTGTATTTTGAAGAAGGCTAGACTCTCTAGAACACCAAAAACTCCTTTGTATTGTGTTATTAGAGAACAATAAGGCAGTAATCATTAAATTATGAGAGGTACAGATGAAGTGTTGAGGATTAGATCAAAATCAGATGTTATAAATGACATAAGCTATAGCTTTAGGGTACCGTTTTCCTTTTCCTCTAGCTGATTTCGTTTATCCAACTTGATGGCTGCTGCATGGAGATAAGTTGAATACTTCTGGAGGATACCTGGTTGGAATGGTAGCATTAGGTAGGGCTTTCTTTAGAACTCTGTAGTCTTTCCTGGATTTGAGCTAGAGCAGAATATATCAATACCAATTTGGTATACTTGCGATATCTGACTACTTTTTCCTCCTCTCTTTCTCTTTGTCTCTGCACTTCCTAACAGGTTTGGCACAATGACTTGCCATACAGGGCCTTAGCAGCGTGGCAAAAGTTGGCTGTTTTCAAGTTGTCTTTCCCCTTCCCCCTGTTCCTTCACCTCTGGGATATCTGAGCTGGCTTCTCTTCCCTGGGCATTCCTTTCCTTCTCCCACTTGCTGCGGAAAGGACCAGTCTACCATGGCCGGGGACAGACTTCCACACAAAGTGATGGATCCCAAGAAACTTGCCAGCCTCTTGAGGAGTGGGACTGAAGGAATGTTGGTCATTGACAGCCGCTCCTTTGTGGAGTACAACTCCTGGCATGTTCTCAGCTCTGTCAACATCTGCTGCTCCAAGCTGGTCAAAAGAAGGCTTCAGCAAGACAAGGTATCCATCACAGAGCTCATCCAGCCAGCCTCCAGTATAAAGGTACTTAAGCTTGGCCCTTAGTTATCCTCCAAATTCAAATCATACTATGACTCAGTGTTCCTGTCATAAATCCTAATCTTAAAGGACATCCCCTATTATATGTAGCAATGCAATAAGTTGGGTTAGGGTTTTTATTTTTAAAAAACTGTTAAGGTTGGAATTTTAAATGGAAGACTGGTGCAGGACTGCAGAAATGACTTTATAATCTGTCTTTCTCATATAGTTTTCTATTTTTATCCTCTCCTGTTTGGGGACGGGGTGGAGGAGAGAAGCCCCTCTTCCATCATTCTTTCATTTCTGATTGCAGGTAGTTGCATGATAGAAAGCAAGGGTGGGAGATCTGTGGCTCTAACTTCAACTCTTGGCTTTCCTGTTTATTGATAACGCTGGTTGGGGTTGCAGTTCAGCTACATGTAGAGTACTCTTTTTATTATAAAGAGTAATAACCCCAAAGACATTTAGGAACTGTATGCAATGTATCGTCTTAAACCAAAACATGGACAGAAGGCAATGACTGGAATCCCCTTATGGACTTTTTGCATAAAAAAAGAAAATGATTTTGTGACATATGGTTTTGATGATTATAAAGAATAGGTTATAGAAAGAAGGGAATTATGATGTAATCTTAGAAGAGGTTTGATTAGAATTGTATGTATAACTGCTGGGAGGAAGATTGGAAACCACTTCTTTATTTATATAAATTCATGTTTTCTGTTCTTTTCTTTTCTTTTACTTTTCTTTTTTCTATCTCCTTTTTTCTTTCTTTTTCTTTTCTTTCTTATTATCTATGTAAAATCTTTTAATACAAACTATTTAAAAACAAAACAAGCTGGGTAGAATGTTCTGTTTCCTTTTGGGGGCTATTGAGGAATCCAGGGTGTTGGTTTTACCAAACTCCTAGATTACATGAACTTGCACTTTTCTGTTCCTGTTTAGGGCCAGTGTTTTGTTTCTTCCCATACTGATTTATCTACCATTTCTCTTATTCCTGGGACTAGTCACATAGGTGTTATAATATGGGGATCATGTGAATGTATTGACCTCTTTATACCTATTTGGATTTTTCTATGTGATGTCATTACTGAGAACAAATGAAGCCAGTTCAAAGTGAGCTTTCTTTTGTGTTATCAGAAAATCCTTCCTCTACATGGGAGGAAAAAAAACAGTGAATGGGAATGGAGTTCTGAAAAAAAATGCTCCCCATCCAAAAAACAAACAAACAAAAAGGATTAATACAAAATGCCTCTTAAAAATCAAAATAAAGATAGCCACTAAATCCAGACTTGTATTTTTTTAAGCAGAAATATAATTCAAGAATTACAGAACTAAAGAATTAAAGGTTTAACTACTGTGCTTTAGTAAGTTGGTAGAAAGGAGACTATGTGTTTTAAATGTTCAGAGGAATAAGGCTTGCTAAGAAAGCATCCATATGGCTTTAACATAGAAATCTTGCATCACCAACTATTTGGAGGTGATAACAAGCAAGAATGTGGCAAAAATCCAGTAGATTCTACTTGGATAGTCAAAAAACTGTTGACAGTCTTTCAGCAGAAGCTACTTAGCTGACCTAGGCTATGAATAAGTTCCTGTATGGATAGACAATTGATTAAAACAGGAAGGAGAGGATAGGTTCTGAGGGAGGTAGTCAGCACCCCATTTAATAATTTACAGCAGCACTAATGGTATTTATTTATCAGTGCTACAGAATTATTCTGTGCTACAAAAATGAAACTGAATCACTGTTGGCAGGATAGGGTGAAGGAGGAACCACTAGTGGACTTAATCATCCATCTCTCTTTCTCTGCAGTATCTCTCATATACATACCCACAGTTTAATGTTCCAAATCACATGTACAGAAAAAGATACTGTACATAAGAAATTTACTATTAACTGTAGTCACTTATTCAGAAATTGAAAACATACATTTAGAATTAGGAATGATTAGATCAGGGGGTATACTGTAAAAGAAATACATGCTTTGCTTTCATTAATAATATTGGTATAAGTTTTCTTCCACACTTCCTGCCCCCTGAAAACTGACATTCTTGCTATGACACAAGCTATGAACTTGGAAAAGAATAATGGGAAGAATAGAATTATCTCAAACAGAATTAGCTAGTTAAGATAAAACTATGTTAAATGCTGTGTGGAATTTCCATTGTAGTTCTACTTCTAGTTAATTCTGCTTGTCTCTGAGCTCATTGCCAAATGCATATATTCTGTTCTCAAGAATTACGGGTTAACAGGACTATAATCCTTTGAAGTGGGATTTATGTCAGTGAAAATTACTGCATGCAGAGCAAATTGTCTGCTGAGGGAGGAGGAGCATGGGCAATCCTTTTACCTTACTAAGGGCAGTGGATGTTCGGGGGTGTCAGAAAAGTTGTATACGTTCATTTAGCTAAGAAAGTGCTGGTTGCTACTTTTCTAAAGCTGGAGGGAGTGATTAATGGATTTAAGAGCATGTAGGCTGGTTGATGATGGTAGATATTTTAAAGCACTATAAAGCCACTACCCTCTTCCAGTGAAAGTCAGGGGTGAGGTTCAGGATGGGATAAATAGTTTGAAGGGTTCCCCCCCCCCCCAAGTCAATAGGAAGGACTATAGCAATAGATTCCCTATCTGGGGCTGGGACTCAGATCTTCTCAAGAAGAACTGGAAGCTGTAGATAAAGCTGACAAGGGAAGTACAGGCAAAAGCATCTTATTCCTTTTCAGTGCTGCTCTGCTCAGCTGTGTAGTTTTTACCCTTGTTCGCATTTTCTGTCCTCCTGAAGTTTTTTGTTTATAAATTTTAATGGTTAATGATTGCTTGAATTTGCATATAGATAGAGGCCTTATAACTTAGTTTAGCTCTCTTACTGCCCAAGTACTTACTTTGTCCTTTTTATTATTATTTTTAATTCTTTATTGTTATTTTGGCATTGGGTTTGCACTAGCACCATGCTTTCCAAAACTGTTTGGGCCTTGTCATCTTGATAAAAGGGGGGTACTGGAGCAGCTTGTTCAAAAGCTGAGTCCTGTAGGGATGCCCTGCACTTTCAATCCATAGTGAGAAAGATCCTTTGGAGGGTGCATACACTAGTTGGTGTTCTTTAAGGAAGAAGGTCGTTTGCTCTTTTCCTAGGCCTGCACGGTAGCCGCATGAACCCAGGAAAATCTGTGTTTGAGGTAAAGGTGCGACAAGATGCTTTGGAGTGGGCAGAGATGTGGTACCTCCTTAACTCCAAACACACATTTTCCCAAGACAAGGCACAGCTTCTTTAAGGAAGGGCCAACAGGTATCACCTATGTGCTCATTCCTAGTTAAAATCGCCTTTTTTGGTTTGGATCTGAAGTGCGGCACTTCCTTATTAGTCTGCTTTTAGCTCTTTTTAATGGATATCTGTTCCCGTAGAAGACAAAGTCATTTCTACAATTCTGAAATTCCCGTAGCCCTGTTCTGTAGTGAAATCGTGCTTGGTTGTCTACTTTTCATAACATGGTTACAGGGTGGAAGAAGAAGACATGGAAGGTGGCTTTAAAAAAAAAAAAACTCAGGGTGGGGGGAAGAAAGGTTTGTTCCAAGGAAACTTCTTCCTGAAGCTTCTTTCCAAGTAAGTGCAGCACTCACTTGGCATCAGATCCCATTGAATTCAGTTGGATTTTCTTACAAGGTAAGCTTGTAATGGACTTGCAGTGTTTCTCAAGCTCAACAACTTTCAGATGTGTGGACTTCAACTCCCAGAATTCCCCATAGCTGGCTGGGAAATTCTGGGAGTTGAAGTCCACACATCTTAAAGTTGCTGAGCTTGAGGAAAACTGGACTAGAGGCTTAATTGTCACTTCTTGGTATCACCTGTGCTTATTTGCTTTAACCACAGTTAATTTGCAGCACTTAAGCAGGTTCCTACTCCATTATCCAGATGCCAGGAAAAAGCTTCATCTCCTATTGTCCCTGTATCAGAAAACACCCTTGTGGGGTATGTCTTGCTTTTTCTTTTTTGACTACCAAGGATTTAAAACTCTGCCTGCTGCATTTCCCAGTCTGAATAAGCAAAGAGCAAGGTGCTTATATAGAGTTCTTTCTTTTGTTCCACACGGTAGATTTGGCTTTTCTTCAGGAGAAGCTAGCTACTCTTTTAAGTTCAGCAGCCATCTTTTCCCAGCAGCTCCTCAGCAGCTGGATTGCTTTTTAGTATTTCTTCTTCCCTTCCCTCCCCCGCTTTTTATTATTTTGTAGCAAAGGAGGGTAATTCAAGCGATTAATCAAATGCTAGGCCCAGCTGGAACCATCTGTAGGGTCTTCATCTCCCCCTCCCCTTAAACGTACACATATGGTTTATTGAATTTGGCTAGCAGTGACATCACCCCTGCCTGAATCTTTGTGTGTGAGGAAAAATATCCTTTCCTCCTGTCTGCTATAATCAAGGCTGTAAGGAATGATTCTTGAATGTTTTTCTTTAGCCATTGATAATGCTGGAGAACAGAGGAACTTAATGCATTTTTAGAGGTCTCTCTGTGTGCACACATATACGTCACTGCTGAATTCTCAGAGAGCTTTTTGGCCTAGAGTGCTTTATTAGTATTTTCCAAATAGAAAACAGCTAGATAAATTAGTGTTTGTTCAGAGAGTCAAGAAATGGGTTAGGATCTACTTCCAAATGCACATTGCTGAGGTCATCCTGAAAAAT